AGCAATCCCTCTTCTGGGTATCTACCCGAAAAACTCAGAAACATTTATTCACAAAAATATATGCACCCCTATTTTTATTGTAGCATTATTCACGGTGGCCAAGGCACAAAGACAAGCAAAGTGTACTTTGATGAGGTTTGGATAAAGAAGATGAGATACATGTATACTGTGGAATACTATCCGTTCTTAAGACAAAATACTACCTTTTTTTGACAAAATGGATAGGCCCTGAGAATATTATGCTAAGCAAAATAAGTCAGTGAGAAAAAGCTAAGAACCATATGATTTCACTTATACACGGTGTATAAAACTGAAACTCACAGACTCAGAAAACAGTATGATAGTTACCAGAGAAAAGGGGGTGGAGTATAGTAAAGGGTTAAGGGGGTCAAATATATGGTGACAGAAGATGATCTGACTTTGGGTGGTGGGCACACAATGGAATATACAGATCAGGTATCTTAGTAATGTACACTTGAAACCTGTATGATCTTATTAATCCGTGTAACCCCAATAAATTTAAAATAATACTTATACAATTATATACATATTTGGTTGAACAGTAATTATGCTGGATGTTGGAGATACAATAGAAAACAAAACACAGTTCTTCAAGAAACTTCCAGTCTAATGGAAGAGAAATAAAAATCACAGGCAATTTAAATAAAGAATGGAATCACTATAATATGGGCCAGTGAATCCCTTGGATGAAGACCTCACTTAGGCTTAGAGCTGTGAGAAAGAGAGGGGTCAAAACCTTTCCAGGAGAGACTGCAAACTGTCCAGAAGGTGAGCTGTTATCCCAGAGTCACTGGCAGGGACCGTGCTGGGAACTAGGTATACTCTAACATGGTAAACAGAAACACCTGTTATGTTCATGGCCCTAGAGCACAAAGAAGATACAACTAAGAAAATAATAAACTAGCCCATGTATACCTCAACTTTGTGGCATATTCTATGATGACCACTGAAATGAGGACATGTAAAAAGGCATCAACTATAACTATGGTAATCTGAGAAGAGAATAATTAAGCTGAGTTCTCAATAATGAAAAGAAGCCAACAATTAGCGTCATCAAATTTGAAGAAGGGAGATTTTAGGGGACAAAAAAGCATCTCCCAAGACATAAAAATATAGTGGCACATCTAGGTGACTTTAAACAGTTCAGTGTAGTTTGAGAATGGATATAGACACATGGTAAGAAATGGGTCCACACAGTAAAGGTCCCTAATAATGTATGACACCTTTGTGCCACAGTACCTTGGTTAGTGAAATTATCTACTTTTCTCAAAATATCCATCACAACTATAAAAGGAAGAGGTCATGAAACAAAAAGCCAAGAGCAATTATGTTAATGTCACACATTTAGAAGGGATAAATTCAAAAAGGAGAAGGAAATTAGAATTAGAGAAATTATAGGAGAGTGGAGAAAGAGAGAAACATTTCTATAGAGATTCAAGGAAAAATTCAATTCAAAAAAATTCGAACATAAAACTGAAACAAAGGAATCATAATGACAGTGATATCTGGTTCTTATGAATATTACCATTTTTAAATTCATAATTCAGAGGTATAGAAAGAAACCCTTATATCAAAAATGACCAAGACTTATATCATTACCTTCATATAAAAGAAATATTCCTCAAATAACAACAATCTACATGTTTTGATGAAAAAAAAATTTTAAAGAAAAATCACACTAACAACAGTTTTAAATTAACATTTGTTGGTGATTAATTACTCAGACAGGATGCCAGGCCAGACTACATGGTACTTCTAGTTTTTCTATATACTCTACGCATTTCTGATAAATGGGAAAAGAATAGATGACCTGGCAGAAGGCTCAGACAATAATATGTGATTTACAGGACATGAATGCAGCTACCATAAGATTTATCTGACAGCCCTCTCCGATAGTGGACTGTTGAGTATCCGATGGAATGATTTCTAGTCTAGAAAGTCTACTACTGAGTAGCCATACACATTATTTATTTATTAGATGTTTTGGGTTGAAACCATTTTTAAATGATGCACTTCACAATGCACAGTCATAAATTTAGCTTTAAACCCAAGAAGGGAGGTAGTGTTATTGGAATGTATGTCAGACTGAATTAGGATGAGCAACGCAACGCTTTTATAAAGTGGCCTTGAATGCAATGTCAATTCTTTCAAAAATGATATTAATGTCAAATGAGCAAGATACAAACACTTTACACAACACTAGAGTAATATTACTTGAACTATTTAACATTTTCTTTAAATGCATATAGATTTCTATGAAGTTTATACACATACACAAGAAATACCAGGCACAAATAAGTTACATGCTTGTGAAAAACTGAATCTGAAATATAATTGAGAAGTTGTTCAATTTTTTTCTGTGCATCAGAGAGTAGTATACAGTCTCCTAAAAAATGTATACTGTCTCATTGTAAAGAAGAAATAAATCATGTGCTGGAGCTTAAGTACTTCTTGAATTATTTTATATGGAATTCAATACATGAATAAACCAAATTTAATAAGACTTAGTGTGCATTTATGTGTGTATATCTTTAATCAAAAGAATTTTAAGAAAGCTCTTCAAATCTAAATAATAACATTTTGCCTTAATATTAAAACTTAAATGGGATAGAATATGAAATGGTTTCCAATAAATGAATGAGTGGATACTGAAAAATACAACCTAGTTGAAGCTTTAAGAAAATACATAGTGACCTGTTTAGTCTTAATGAAGGCAAAGCAAATGTGATCATTTCCTCATTTCTTAGACTCTATACTCTCTTTTGTAATAAAATGTGGGTAATTTTTAGCACCTTGTTTAAAAGAAAGCAAAAGATAAGTGTTGAATGAATTCAAGAAAAAGAATCGGAAGATGGCTGATTGTCATGAAATTAACACCAACTAATTTGTAAAGTTTTAAATCAAATTTGCAGATGTTAAGTTCATAAGCATATCCCATTATTTATGTGATTAAAAAAAGAGTTTTTGACCTGATCTTTCGATCTTTGGCACTCGATCCTCTCCATCTCCTCTTAAAAAATTAATTAAAATTTTAGCAAGATGCTAGCTTTTCACTTCCCACCCTATCTCAGACTAAGAAAAATTATCAATCAAACTCAAGGCATCCCCACCCAGTATCTGCAAAATGTCGACTTCAAATTCAATTTCATATCTCTTAAGCTTTCATGTGGAAAAAGATAGTTCACTTCTTAACAAAATAAATCACTTCTGTGATTGCCAATCTGACCTCTTTGAATTAGGAAAATTCAAAGTGAAAAATGTAATTATCACCCTGGAACAATCTGTATACATCTGGAGCTAATTCTGGCTTCATTTTTCACATCGTTTTTCACACTGTGCTACATCTTAGAGAGATGCCATGGAACTTTTGAAGAACTCATAAAGAATGTGAAGGACTTCAAATAACCAATAATGTATTTTATTCCAACAAAAACCCTGAGACTGACTTTTGCAACTTACTCTTCTAAGTGAACTTCATATTGCATCTGATTGGATTAGTATTAAACAGCACTGTAATATCCATGACAAACAGGTATATTAAAATATATCATTCTTTATCTTTTCAGCAACTACATTCAACTATTTAATACACTACATCTGAAATAGCTTTCCTGTATCAAGAACATACTCAATTCTTCTGCACTAGAAAGTGAAACTTCATGATCAAAATTCATTCTCCTGTGAAGAAACATCCAAACTGTAAGTGCACATTTCTTAAAAGTAAAGGGAATTTCATGTCACTATAAGAATGGCAAATAGTAATTTCCCTCCAAGAAACAATCATGCAATTATTTCAATTCAAATTACTTATTAAGAAATTACTTATTCAGTTAGCTTTTAAATAAATGGAGTTCTCTTTAAAAGATTAAATTATAAATACATGAATCTTGCTAAATCTAAGAATAATAAGCCCACTAGAAACATAACTACTCCTCACAAGTTCATTATAAAAATCCATTAGGTGTAATCTCTAGAAGTAATTGTTCTTACTGCATTTTACTGACAATGCATAGTATTGATTTTTCACACCTTCTATGATTCTTTAATTTGTATTCATGAAATGTCCATCAGCACAGTCTAAATAAATTTGGCAATATAGGCACTAAAATGAATAAATCGATGCAAAGAAACATTAATTTTGCATTATCCTTATTCGTCAGGCAAGTAAACCATGAGAGTTGTAAATGAAGGTCAAAGGTTTTGAAATGGGTCAGAACCCTTGACCTCTAGACCAATACCCTTCCTATTAAAAAAGGCTATTTTAAAGTTTTAAGTAGGGGAATTTACTACCAGCCAGATATCATTTTTAAAAGACTACAAAGAAAACTCTCAATAAAAACATTCATCTATTTAATTGCAAAACAGAAAACATCCCAGGATACATTGTTTTTATGTAAGTTTTAAAAAAAATCATTAAAGTTTACCACATGAGGTATAGGGTTTCTGAACACTGAAAGTAATTTTGCTTTTAGGAATTTATTTACTACATCTCATGAGGGCTAAGGTAGTTTGTTGATGTTTTCTCAAATCTACTCTGCATGTCAAAAATAATTAGCAATGACAAGAATTCAAAATTATTTATCACTCCTTTTATAACCTCTGCACAAAAGGGAAGTAAACCCATTATTCCCAAGGGAGTCAAAAGTGGCACTCCACGGGGTGTACAAATAAATCCGCTTCTATAACTTTAATACACACAGTAAAAAAAATTTATCTATCTCAACATCATTTAATCTGCACATTTTTACTGTAACCTTAGAAAGCTGTGTCTAGTTCATCTAACCAAATTATCTCACCTCTAACTTCAAAATTATCAGCTCGTATCAAAGACAAGGAGTAATCCTTTTGCAATACAAATAACATTTTAAAACTGCAAACTCAAAACTCTACTATAGCAAAAATTTCTCATAAAACAATTAAAACTTCCTTGCAAAATAATTCACGTCATTCTTGAATTCAACATTATTCTTGTCACTCACCTGTGAACACAGTAGCATAACCAACTCCACAACTGAACTACTAGACTTCATGCAAACCAGACCTATTTTAAAGAGAATTTAAAAATAAAATTACAAAGTAAAAAACAAATATGAGGGATTTATTTGCTATACAACTTTGCCCAAAGTGGGTTTTAAAATAAAATTTAACATATCTGGCTAAGAAACAAAAATGTACACATTTGATCATATGAGTAAACAAGGTACTTTGTAATTACTTTAAACTTGGCATCAAACCTACCATAATTTTTTACAAACTATTTCTTTGCAGCTTTCAAACTACTAAAACATTTATTACAACTTCATCCATAATGACATTTCACAATACTCATAGAAATGTGCACAACATATGCCATATTGATCCATATCATCTACATTTTGTTTGGAGAGAGTTGATTGTTCTACATGCAGAGAAGGGAAATGGCTCCCTGACCTTTGCTTTCTCCACCACACTCTCTCCCTTCAACCCTCCAGCTATCAATCAAGTTTCCATTTTGTTTCATGGCAGCAGACATCCCAAACACTCTTATTAGTACCTTGACCTGTGACCTCACACTAAACCTTAACAGAAGTGCAAGCCATTGTCTGTTATACATTCTTGATTTCTTATAAATAAATTCATTTACATTTTCTTTTATGTTTCATTGGGGTTCACCAAAAGTATCTCAGCAAGGAATTGCTATACAATTACCTAAAGAACTCTCCAGTTTTGATGACCAGTAAAATCTAAAGGAGTTCATTCAAAGAACATTTTATAACCAGCGTCTTAAAAAAGCAATGCCAATAATTAAAAGCACTAAATTACTAAATCACACTAAATAACATTATTAATAATCAGAAAAATTGTAACTTTTATTCTCTATTTTTCTAGGCAAACACAAGTTTAGGTTCCAGTGTGTCAAAACCAAAATAATTACTGGTGGCCCTTACACACTTGACAGAATTACCTCCTTCCTTTCTCCATGTCGAGGCTCCTGCAGGCATCCTATCCCATCTCACTCCCTTCCTTTAATCTCCGCGCTGTCGTTCTCTCTTCCCTTTTAGTCACGATGCTCCTAACTACTGATGGCACAGGCTGCTGTTCTTTAGCCTCACAAATAGCTTTCAAGTCAAACAGGTTGTTCACACCCCTTCACCTTTTAGAAAAGTCAGAACCATTTTTCTCAATGTCTCACTGTTTCATTAAGCAAGCAGGTCACTAACTAAATTGTGATTTCCGCAGAGCTAAGATGAGCATACCTCCTCGGACCAATGCCACAAGGCTGTAAGAGAGGGCACAGCAACTACCTCCCATTGCTGGTGGAGCCCTCTACTGGTCTGAAACCTCATCACTTTTCATAAAATATAACCCAGTACAGGAAGTTCCACACACTTCAACTTCTTTCTACAACTAGGTCTACTCTACTGTTACCAGAATCCCTACCAACTTTCCTTTCATGGCAAAGCATTTGGGCCATGATCTGGTTCAGCCTTCTGTATCCATTCAGATAATAAACAATTATGATAAAAACAGTCTTGGGGCATCCAAAGTTGGAAAGATTTATAGGTGAACTTTTGTCCCCTTTACAAAGTATCATAGACTGGTTCAATACTTATAAAATTATGAACTTCAGTCTTATTTCTCAATAATAAAGGTTAGCAAGCCAGAAGTTTGATGCTACGCCGTTGGATGTGAAGATTCAAGAATGAGTGTATGCACTGCTCAGCAAGTTGACAGTGAAATGTCAAATAACATTTCATAGTTTGATTAGCACGATCTATGGGTTTTCTGGAGTTGGGTTTTGTATATTTGGGAAGGGTGGGAATGGGGCCAGGATGGACACAGTATGCTAAGTTTTAAATAAGAACTTCAGAAGACAAAAGACACCTTAGATTAGCTCCCTGCCCCCTACTGAACAGGCAGACACTGTAAACACAAATGTATAAGCTTGGGAGTCCATAAACAGGAGATAATCCCAATAAAGGACTTTGTTTGAGATGGTACCACTTAATCACATCTCTATTTTTGACCTAAATTTTTACTTTTGGGTGACAGTGGTTACATGTATGAAAATGCAATAAATGAATTCTAAACCAGGAATTCTGTCTTCATATTTACATTTAGACTCTAAGAATTATCCAGAGGAAGGCCATAAACGAACATTCGCAGTCAAATTGCAAGTTGCTGCAGAAATACCGACTTTCATTCTAAACACACACACACACACACACACACACACACACACACAAACTACTGCCCCAATTAGCAGACAGTGAGCAGGTCACCGTGGGCTCAGACACACGAGCAGGCCCATAATCTGACCTCCCTAAAAGACTCCCACAATAGTTGGGTTCAGTTTGGTTGGTTTCATTTTTGGTTGATTTTTCAAAAAGATGGAATTTTAGTCTCTTCAAAAAAAGACAAACCCAAGTTGCTAAGTCAAGAGTTTTATAATCATCTGGAGCTTCATGATCAGAGACCACTAGAATTTCTATACCAGAAATTCCTTCTCCTACCTCTATGACCACTGCTTTCCCTTGGTACTAAACTCGGAAATACTAAGCGACTTAACTAGATACTACGCTGGCATCGCCTGAACCCACTGATCCACTGCCTCTCTCAAGTACACCATGAAACACCGTCACGACCATTTAGCATCTGGAATAAAACGGACCTTTTAAAAAATAAAACATGTATTTTAAGTCACCTTAAATAATTTACAGAAAGAAAGGGGTGATGATAAACATTACTAGGCATTTTAGTAAGAATTTAAGCACAATACATTCAAATTCTTTTTCCATATTTTCCTGGTTTTGAATGTATTTGTACATCTCCTGAATGAGAAATGTCCTTTGGATATCAACTATCATTCCCCATCAATCTGTAAACACAATACCCATCTTGTGAATACAAATTCTACATTCCAAATAAATTTCTACTGGGTTCTAGCTTATCATAATTCTTGTCCTCCTGCTTGAACTTGTATCATTACATGCATTACTGTAGAAAAGTTGGATCATTCAAAATTGTGTTGGAGAGAAGCTAGCCATCTTTGCTTTACAACTAAAACGTATTACCTTCTTTAGATTTACAGACACCATTTGAATGATCAATCCACTGAATTTTTTCATTTCTGCATGAACTTTTCCTTCTAGTCACCTTTGTATATGCACCTACCAGTCTTTTAGCTCTTGTCCTCCTAGAAAAGGTACCAAGCAAATTGTGGTGCAAAATAGTCACAAACAAGGGAAGAACACTGTACCATGCCTTTTTAGTAAAATGAAATGTTTCAGGTTTCTGTCACCAAATACCATGTACATTTTATAGAATGAATTCCTTCCTATTGAATGGCCTGCTGAGAAAACCAATTTCCTTTTTGTCCACAGATACATGCTATGCACTACTAAATTCTTGAGTTTGGTAAAATTCATGAGCGCTGCTCTCTGTCTCTTTAAATTCATCCTCAGATGTTCTAATAATTGTAAAATGTTTCCTTCTGTCAATTTTATTCACCTTACCATTATGAGCAGAAAATGAAAAATTCTGAATTCTTAACTATATTCTATTACAGCTAAATATAGGACCCACAAAGATGGTATCCATAGACTTCTTTTATACCAATATTTCTCAAACTGTTTTCATTATCACTCTCCACTAGGGAACCATTTCAGAACATTTTTTCTTAATTCTGCCCCCATGAAATGTTAATACTAAAGATAAACTGTATAAGCGTTCTATGGCCCACTGAAAGGTCATAAACCACTATATATATGGTTTTATGTATGTATGTATTTATGTAAGTATTTATATATATTTATATATAAATTTATATGTATTTTAAAATATGTATATATTTCTGCCCTCCCCAAACACCTGTTTTTGCCCCCCTTAAGAAAATGAATTTCTCTCTTCTTAAATTATGATGCAATGCCATAAGAAAACTGTGGGTGATCTAAGAATGACGATTTGTTTTCCTCTGGCACCATTATTCTAGGGGCAATTCTGGTATTCTTGTTTTCTTATTATTTTAGTCTTTAGTGTAGTTAGGAATAATTAATGAATAATGATGGAGAAAAAATGTTTTAAGCTGTAACAAAATTAAGATCGCAAAGACCCCATAATGAATCTTAGATCTATGAAAGGTATCCAATGAATACACATATAATTGTAGAATAAAACTGTTAAAGTAACTTTTTCTTGGTTTTTGAAGACCTCTTTAAAAAAATAAAATTCAATCATACAAAGGGTACTTGAAAATGACAATATCACTAAAATTTAGACAATTAGAAAACATGATTCTAGGCATGATGTAATATGAAGTATTACATCTAATTACATTTTTAAATCTAATTTCGGGTCATTAGAAAACACATGGCATAGAGAAACCATTAAATGACATCACCAAGAAGCAACAGACAGAGTACCAAACCACGTAACATTCTACAGAACAGCCAACCAGATTTCTTCAACAGGCCAACGGCATGAAAGCAAAGGGAAATCAGGGGTAAACTATTTGACATTAATAAGGACATAAAAGGCATAACCAAATGTAATAAATTGATTTTGTTTAGATCCTAATTAGAAAAAAAAGAAATTATAAAAATATATCTTTTAAATAAAGATGAATATGAGCTGAGTATTAGATGATATCATGGACTACTATTAATATATTTAGGCATAAAAGCAGCAATTACAGTTATATAAGAAAATGTCTTTTTTATAGGATTTATGAATTATTTAGAGGTGAATCAACATAATATCTGGAGTTGTTTTAAATACTAAAGCAAAATAAGGGAGGTGAGTATAACAAACAATTATGGCAAAACAAAGACAATTTGGGTAGCTGGTAATAATAAATTCATTGAAATTGCATTTCTTACTTTATAAATATTTAAAATATTCATTTAAAATTGTTTAATTAAGAAATCATTTTAATAATTTAAAGGTAATAACTTTTCCAGTGCCGGTCTCACGGCTTGTCACTGGCAAGCACGGAATTAAAACCAAGGCCTCTTGCCGTTCACTCCACTTCTTTTCCTACTGCACTACGCGTGCTGTGGTTGCCTCTACTCTGAACTGCTCTGTTTTATAACGCAAACCACCACTCCAAGAATTGCAACTTAAAATACATACAAAAAGTGCATAAATAGTCTTACATTCGTTTGCTGTTTTTCTGAACACGGTGCAATGAGTAGGCACTGCTCAAGCTTACAGCTGAGCAATGGTCATCTGATAAGGCATCATCTTCCTTATCATTTTATCAGGATTCAGCAGTAAAAATATTGACTCCAAATTTTGTTCAGGGATTGGGAATTGGCAAGTTTACTACTTCTGAGTATCTAAGGTGTTCCTATTTTGCTGGATTATAAAATTCAAAGACCAACTAAAAAGCACCAATGTCTTTCCCTACCTGGTAGGGCTCAGTGGATTGAGTGCAGCCTGTGAACTCAGTGGTCACTGGTTCAATTCCCAGTCAGGGCACATGCCTGGGTTGTGGGCTAGATACCCCGTTGGGGACATACAAGAGGCAAGAGATCGATGTTTCTCGGCAACATCGATGTTTTTCTCCCTCTCTTTCTCTCCCCCACTCTAAATAAATAAATAAAAATAAAAAATGTCTTGCTACACCAAGAGGCTATAATTAATGCATTCATTTTACAGCAATGAAATAAAATATGTATCATAAGTTGTCACATCACTTCAAAAAATAATTGTTTGATAAGTGAAATATAAGTTAGAGGAAAGTCCTTCTATTTTTCATTCAATTCTCTCAAATTTTAGTATATCATTAGATCAAATAGTCCACAGTTAAATAAATTATATCTTGCAAGCAGATAAAATAAATTTTTACCCCAAGTTTAATTAAATATTTCTAAATCCTGAACTTTCTTTTTCAAATAAATCCAATGCTACTACTTGACTCTATGGAAATGAACCACTCAGCACCAACTCTGTGCACATCTATAGCAAAGATGATAATGAAACACCTGTTTTAGCTAAAGTTTATTACTTATAAACAAATATTTTAAGGGTCACATAAAGTACTGATATCCTACAGTTAACACACAGATACACATAAACTGTTATGCCTTGCATTTCCATTATATCCTTATTTCTACCAAAAAAAGGGACTTTTTCACAAGTTTTAAGAAATGTCTTAGGAGATCACCTAATAACTACCCAACAAAAATTTGTGGTAACTAAAGCTGTAAGCTGATATTTAAAGACACTGGAATTCAGATAATCACGCTGTCCCATGATTTTTCAGCTTCAGGAGAATCGCAGTGTCTAACCTTAAACCACTAACCACGGGCACAGATAAGCCAGATTTAGCAAACTTCTAGTCCAAACACATTGGAATGCAAAAATCAATTCTACATTATCACTGGTGAAAGTCCTCTAGGTTCTCCTTTAAAAAGAATTCTAGTTACAGAGCGAAGGCTGGTATTTTGAAGTCCGTCTACACTGAGCTCTTAAACAGAAGTCCTTGTTTTCCAGTGCACTGACACCTGCTGTCTGAGGAAACTCAGCACCCATCGACTTTCACTTGGCTGAGTTACCCTCTTTAATGTTTGAAGACACTCACTACACAGCAAGTGCCCTATGTAAAATAAAAAATTTAAATGACCCAATACTCTCATCCTTTCCACAAACAGCATGGTTTCCAATCCACTCAGCAACCTACTTCTGCATGCTGTCTAGGCTGACACAATTTCAAAGTATCTTACAAAGAAAAGACCTGGTCATCTACATATAGTTTGAGCAAGATACAGTACAATATGCTATTATCTCTAGATTCTATAAGAACCCTTGTCAAAAGTTGAAAACATTTTAACAATGAAAGCCCATGCATCTCTTATTATCCATTTAAGTTTTTGACCTTGAAGTTTAAATATATATTTATATAAAACGAAATAAAGAAAAACCACTTACTTGTTCCTTCTATAAGCAGTTCTTGTCCATGGCTACCCAAAAGTGTCCGAGAAAGAAAAGGTGCAAAATCCACAAAAATCTCTCGCAGAAGAGGAGCCGCCTTTTCCAAAGCATGTTCAAGCCTCTCTGTAATACTAATGTAAAGATGTTGAATTAACTGATTCATTCAGTAGAATTTGTCGATTCTCTAGTTTTTAAATGAGCTCTCATAGCAATGTAAAACTACATGAAAAATTAAGTACTACCTGAAGACTCATTACTGTGATGCACAGCACTGCTTCTGCCTGAACTGCCCTTGTTTTATACGGCCACCCCCAGCCCTGACAAACGACCTGGTAACAAGCACTCCAAGCACCAGCCCTAGCGGAAGTCTCTCTCTTTTTTTAAAGATTTTATTTATTTCTTTTGAGAGAGAGAGGAAGGGAGGGAGAAAGAGAGGGGAAAAAAACAACAGTGTGTGGTTGCCTCTCACGTACCCCCCCGCCGGCGATCTGGCCTGCAACCCAGGCATGTGCCCTGACTGGGGATTGAACGGGCGACCCTTTGGTTCACAGCCCATGCTCAATCCACTGAGCCACACCAGCCAGGGCTGGACGTCTTACAGTCAGCCAGGCCAGAGCACTCGATTTTAGCCCCTAGAACCTAAACAAACTCAATATATCAAGTCCTTATCAGATTTGTCTATTAACCACCGAACCATCAACACCTCTGGTTCAAAAACTATGTCTTCACTTCCAAGTTTTCAACTGCAGCATATAGCAGAGATTCAATAAACGTTTACAAACTGAAAGACTCAGTTTATGTTCTTTTTTTTGTTGATGCCTATCTCTGTAACAATTTGTTTCTAATGCAATCTGAACAAGTTTCCAATTGAAAACTGTGTACTGACTGACATTTATGATTTCAATTTACACATTAATAGTTGTCTTTTTGACTATATGTGTGTACATGCATACATACATGAACACATACACACATGAACACACACACATATTTAATGAATTTTTTAACCCCCTCCCTGCATTTCCAGAGATTCAGAGGTATCCAGAGCTTTAGTTTCTAATGTATAAACCAAACACATCCGTGAATAGCCACTACTTACATAAAAACTACTTCATTCTCATACTACCAACTAGATCAACTGGCATGCTGTTGGAAACTTGTGCTGCCAATAACCACTTCTTTCCAAGTACGACTCTTAGTACTAGTCCACTGCACTTATCCCAGAGAGCCTCTCAGCCCCGGACGACACCACAGCTGCACGTCTGTCTACACATGCAGCCCCTACACGTGCAGCCCCTAAGTGCCTGTGTTGGTGGGGTGCTGTGATGGTCTGGCCATGGTGCGGAGGACCAAGAACTGGCCACAAGGGCTCTACTGGTGGGAAATGTGACAGTTAAACAAAAAAGTCCATCTACAACTCAGTACCACTGGGGCTTTGGTTGACTGGCTACAACTTTTTTTTTTTCAGCAATTTATTTATGGAAGAGAAATGGCAAATTTTAAACTTTCAATCTCCAATCACATGCTACTATCTATCTGTGTACTTAAATAGTTGCTATGCATATAGCATTTATTAATTACAAAGAGTCACTTCCCAAAAACACTTTTGCATTGCATAATCTTTAAAAAGAAACCCTAAAATATTCCCAAGTTTCTAAATGCCATGAAAGTTTTTAAAAATAGAAACAAAAGAATTTTTAAGAATCACTGTATCTAGACAGTTTACAGAGTGATCAAAAGGAACAAATCACAAACACCCAAATCAGTAGCTTCAATACCTCATATTTGAAACTTGGTCTTGTGGAACTGACCCGACTGCTGGAACTGAGGGCAACTTTGCATTCGATGATCTTCCACCTTTAAAAGAAAATAACCATTTTTAGGAATATTCTGTTTTTAGATACAAGGGTTCAACAAACGAAAAATCTTTATACCAAGTCAACAAAAAATATATCGTAATGCATTTTTAAATGCCCATTCTAATTCGGATAACACTGAAATCTACTAATTAACCAGATTTTTCTAGAATCATTTAATATAAAACATCAGTTATAAGTTCAATTATACCTCAACCAATCCTTCATCTATCCATCATACTAACAGAAAAGTAAATTATGACTTAGTTGGGGTCACAATTCTTTGTATTCAATACCAAGTGGCAACTGAGATTTACAAGTAAAAAGTTTTAATTGAGACAAAAAACAGAAACAATTCCAAATTTAGCATTAAACAGGTATTTCCTTTATTACCAAGAAAACTGTCCTTATTCGGTCCCCAAATAACTTCTACCATACCCCAACTGCTTCTGAGTCTCGTCTAGCAAACACAGCCCCGTGAACACCTGAGAAACCTTCCTTAAATGATTCATGCAGAATTTACATTCCCTCATGTGTATCCTCACTGTAATTAGTATGTACCCTGTTGTTGCATTTGTCACATTGTGAGTCAACTGAGTTTTTAACTGTCCTTCTACTAATATTTTTGGAAGCAGAGACCTCATCTTTTCACCCACCTAACTCCAGAGCCTAGTGAACTTGACACAATAGAAGGTCCTCAATGTATGTCCATTGCAGAGGTTATTTTCTTAATCATTCCCATCTCCCATACTTCAGTAGGTCAATTTTCCCACCTGGCATGTAGGCCCTTCTCTATTCCCTACTGCTTTATGTCACTGTCTCGTTCCCCGCTCTTCTTATTCCCTCTCCAGTGAACACTATCAGATACCCCTGCACATTCTCGTATATCCACATTGTTGAATGGCCCATTCACCCTCTTATAGTATGAATCATTCAAACGGTTCTGTCCTGTGTAAGAGTCATTGTCTTTCTGCTTTAAACAAATAACTGTGCTTATAATTTTTACTTGGCAAGAGAAAAATAATCACCAGGAGATTAACTACCCCTTCTTTAACTCTGTCAGAGATAACACATATAATGGCCAAGTCTTGAAAGAGTGAGTCTAGAAGACTAATACAGAGAATAATTTACTGAGGCTTGAAGAGTTCTAACAAGAAGTAGAGGAAAAATAAAGCTCCCATTTAAGCATCAGAATATCCAGGGTTGAACATTATTAAATTTAAGGTAGAAGTAGGACCTGAAAAAAGACAGGAAGAGTCACTTTTTTCACAAGGCCAACATCAGGGAGAAGTGAAAAGAGTGAACGCACACATATAAGTAGTATCAGATGCCCGTCGATGGCACTGGGACCACGGAACCCCTGGACTCTAACTGGGACGGCGCCCTAACAACCTGGAGTACGCAGGTGCAGACGTACGCATCCTGCTTGCAGCTGCAACACAGCAGGTGAAACTTCAGTTTCTGAGAGCCATGTCCTAAAGGGTGCCAAGCTAGTATTAGGATAAATACAGACTGAAATCCCATCACAGTTCTATGGAGGGACAGACCAAGAAAGACAGCAAAGACGTTGACGCCAAGGAAACAAAGAACATGCGAAGCTGATAAACAAGGAGGGAAGTGGGGCTCGACGGATCCTGGAATCCATGCACTATCAGAGGCCTGATGCTTTGATCTGTTTTCCAAACTCCAGACACGGGTATCCTGGAAGCACTTAAAGGAGCCAAAGTGGTGTGTACAGAAGACAGATCAAAGAGAGACAGAAGATACGTTCACATAAGATACACAAACAAAGATGGGTGAAACAGATGAAAAGGTAGCAAAGCAGGCGCTGACATCTGGGAGCTTGCCTGATAAAATCAAGTATGCCCACCAATCCTGGTATTGCTAGGAGCTGGTTTAGAACCCAAGTTAGGTCTTAGTATTCTCCCATCGACTATAAACAACTTCATAAAACATCAACATTAGACAAAGCCATGCCAGGACCATGACAAATCAACATAAAACACTACCACTGTATAATCATGCCCCAACAGACAAACATACGAACTCCATCAAAATGACAAAGATGATCAAACATCCCAAATCCTAATATGTTGTAGGATTAGTTGGTGGACACTGACAGAAACTTGAGATGAAATCAGACAGAGAAAGACATCAGTCATGAGTTCATTTTTTTTAAATCAAGAAATCTCTAAGTAAGAATTCTTTTCTATAACAACCTATTTCATCATGATAAGATGCAAATTTTTACACATGGTATCATCTCTCGAATCAATGCATTTTACAGTCAAAGGCATCTTAACAATTATAGTCAGCCAGATGTTGAGGCCTGATTGTGAGAAAACACAGTGAATGAAACCAAGAAAGCAATACAATCAAATCTGAGATTTCATAAAAGACTAAATAAGGAAGCATTGTGTAACTATTTCAAATCTTTATTTCGCCAGTCTACAACCTCAAGATTACATAAACTAGAGAAAAAAAAGTTGTATAATCTACACATACTGTGTGAGTACGATGATTTGCTTGTGGTGCAGACGCGTACCCACAAGCCGAAGGCCCTTCTGCGGCTTGGCTCCAAAGGTCTAAGAATTGTGCACTATCTCCGTCCCCCCCCCCACCACTAAAGGGCTCCAAATGTGGCAGTAAACGCCGTCGGGCTGGAGAGTTTAGAACTCTGGTCTGAGAATCTGTAATCTCGTATTACAAGCACAATAAGGGTTTTTTCCTATTATGACCACAACATAAAAATCTGTGTTTTAAGGAGCCAAAGGACCCTCTTTCCCAAACCTCCTAAATAGTCAGGCTGAAGGCAGTTAGCTGGAGCAGAGAAGGAGAGCAGTTGCATCAGGGTGGGGCTACACTGACCCAGAGGAAAGGTACAGGGGCCCAAACAATGGGAGGAAGACATTTTAGTACTAAATAAAACTAAGAAGAACTTAGAATGGCTTGTGATGGCTTGAAATTCAGAGTACCCCTGTGTGTTATCATGGCTTTACTAATCTAGGGATATATAAACATATTTACACACATACCCTCATTCACATATAAACCTTTATAAACAGTAGGTAGTCCCTAGGTCTGTCCCTCAGAGGACCTGGGAGCAGCCAGACCTAACAACTCCTGTGCTGATCTTGATTTCTGTTCTCCACTAAGAGAGAAATGGCTACTTCAAGATCTGTGAAAGAAGAGTACAAAATGAGTATAAAACAGCAGTTTTGTTTTTTTAAAAAGCAAGGAAATACCCAAGGAATAACAGGATATGTCACAAGAATGGAGAAGCCAGTTTGATGGGACTCCCATTGACTAAAGCCAGAGACAATAAGAGCATCAAAATAATGATAGTAACTGATTATACCCACCCAACAAAATAGGAAGTCATCAGGCCATATTGACACGAATGATTGATTATCTGAGGAATAGGATATTTAAATAATTTCAAAGTACCTCCCACAAAACGTTTAAAAACTGCAAAAGGCAAAGAGTGACTTTACACCAGAGAAAGCACCCAACAGTTACACTCAGACCAAGGACGGAAATGGTCACGGTCAGAACTGTGACGACAGTGTGCTTCAGGTGATGCAACTTCCTTCTCTTCTGTCTGGTAATTTTTCTACCAACCAAACAAGTATAATCTGTGTCTAATCATGAGGAAATATCAAACCAACTCAAATCCAGGGATGTTCATTTGAGTTGCTCCCAAGTTTTTACCATATTAAAGAATGTTTTGTATGTGCTTACATAAATCTTTGTGCACTTCTTTTCTTGAGATAATTTCTTATGAGTCAATGAACACATCCTTTAAATTCTGATAAACACTGCCAAATTGCCTCAAAGAAAGAACAATTTACACCTCTTTGATTACTAGTGAAACTGAAAGTATTCTCGCAATTCACTGGAAAGAAAATAGGAAACAAATGACTATTCTGACCCTTTGAGCATTTTTATTGGAATCTTTTTCTTTATGGTTTCTAATTATGCATTATATAAAATTAATGATATTTATATGTGATCGACCATTAGAAACACTTTTCAAGTTTGTAGTGACTTTTGTCACGCAGAATTCTAGAGCCCTACCTTTAAACCATCTGTACCAGCATGATACAGAAAACAGAAATACCACATTTCTGCCGAGACATTCCAGAAGAAAGGTCTAGAGCTCTTCCGAACTACTTTACATTCGTGATTCATGCTACCCGTTTTCAGTCTCGGGTTCTATATATTACTTTCCTATTAAATTCCCATAATAAATATAAAACTTGCTCCACTCTTCTCAGCCTGAAACACATTTCCCTTCCAAAAGGAAATGTCAGGTCAACCAAGCTCGGAGCCCTACTGCTTCACATCTGAAGGAAACCCCGCTAACCTCTCAAGCCATCTCAACCACCAATCTCACACAATTTCCATTATCCGTTTTCTTAGAAAGGGTATTCTACAGTGGCAGAAAACACTTCCTCACCAGCCACCCCCAACAAAACCATTTTCAAACTGAGTCCTACCTCTATCAATATTAGGCCAATTTCTTTGATAATAACTACCCTTAGGGGTTGTTATGTGATTTAAATGTTTGGGGAAGCAGTCAGATCTTTGATGCTTATTATTAACTGTGTGACCTTGGCAGAGGTCTTAAGCTCTCTGTGCCTTATTTTCCTCATTTATAAAATCAACAGTGGCGCCTACATCACAGAACTATTTTGAGTCTAAATTAAAGTACTTTGAGCCTGGACCACAGAAAACATGCAATGAATGATAGCTTCCTTCCCTACCCTTCTACTCTGCCTTTAAAATACCTTTTAGAAGTTTTGTATAAACACACACACAAAATGGAATACTACAAGCCATAAAAAAGATGAACTACTGCCATTTGTGACAACATGGGTGGATCTTTAAAGTATTATGTTAAGTGAAATAAGTGAAACAGAAAAGAAAAACAGTATGATTTCGCTCCTGTGAGAGAGAAAACGAAAAGGAGCAAACTAACAACAACAAAAACGTACAGGG